ATCGAATTATCGCACCTTTTCTAAATAAACCGGGAGTGATCTCCTCTAAACTTTCTCGAATATTCTTACATAAAACAACAGGGGATGAGAACTCGGGATATAGACATGATTTTTAATCCATTTTAAATACTTAAACTTTTTAAAATAGAATAAAATCTCGTGGAAAAAGAATTGCACACCAAGTGGACGCCAAATAAAAATGTGCATAATAGTGCGCAATATTATCAGTACTTTATAAATTTACATGCGTTTTTTGAGAAATTGGAAATAGCGTAAATTACTACTTCCGGTCAACGGAAATTACTCACAATTTGACAGAAGGTAGAGAATTAGATCTTTTACTTACATGTGAAATAGCATTTATCTATCTGAAATAGTACTCAAGTTATAGGCTTTAAAAAAATTCAAAGCAGAAAAAGAACCACTTCCGGTTATCGGAAATCGCTCAAAAATTGATAAGGATCTATGATTTTGATAAAATACTTATATATGAAATTTCATTAACCTAGTTGTAACGGTAATCAAGTTATCGAGTTTACACACACACACAGACTCACAGACATACGGACAAGATTGCAAAATTATGTTTTTCCGTATCAGTATTTTCGTATATACGAAGTGTAGAGAAAGTCTTGTGATCGTGCAAAAAACAAAAATCGAGATTATTGCGCACTATTATGAATATGTTTATTTGACGTTCGCTTGGTGCGCAATTCTTTTTTCTATGAGATTCGATTCTATTTTAAAACGTTTAAGTATTTAAAATGGATTAAAAATCATAACTATATCCAGCCTCCTCTTAGTTACCACCCTTAAGTTTAAAATCGTTTCAAACTAAATTGTCTGCCCCTAATAGTCGTCACTAAACCCGGCTCTACGATTGTAAACATTTAGCGTGAACCACAGCTCACCAGACCATGTGGGGGTGTGGGTGGTAGGGATATGCTTAGAGAGGAAGAAAGGGGGCTGCTAGGCGCGCTTACAGCTTGGTGTTTTCTATGGTCTCCATGAAGAGAATTATATATATAGATAAACGTCTTCTAAGAAATTTGTACTTGTATGTGTTTTCTGAAAAATAATGTGTCTATATCTTATATCATATCTAAAGTCCAATAGCAGCAGTAGTGTAAATTCTTGAGTTGTTCTTTTTTGAAATAGCGTAAATTATTACTCCCGGTCTTCTGAAATTACTAAAAGCTTGAAAGAATCAAGAAAATCCGATGTTCTACATGTGTAGTACATGTCGTCCACCACTATGAAATAATACTTATGATATCGATAATTTAGAAACACGAAATAGTGCAAAACACCACTTCCGGATGTCGGAACTTACTCGAAAATTGAAAGAAATCCAAATTAAATGCAAGATTTTAGGAAATTGCGTCTATGTAACTGACACTTCACTGTTGTCATCGGGTGTCCATGGACTTAGAATATAGTATAAATTCCGGATTCCAAAAAAAAATAGATCTAAAGCTATACAATCTGATACGTGTATGTGAAATTTTGTCCGCCTAGCTTTAATGGTACTCAAGTTATTGGCTTGCTTTTAAGAAAGCGGATGTAGAGTAAATGCCACTTTTAGTTAATGGAAATCACTCAAAAGTTGAAAGAAAACAATTTGATATAGAACTCATTTATGACAATTTATCATCCTCTTACTGAACGAATCAGAAAATTCTGGCTCCGAGCGGTGAAAAATTCTTTCAAAAAGTCTATTACATTTCTTTGGAAGATATATTACATTCTTTATATTACGTATACAATACATTAAGATTATTTTTGCACGATTATAATCATTCCTCGATACTCTGTACTTGAGAAAGTAAAAAGGAGCATACGCGATTTTTTTTTCTAAATCGATACTTAAAGCAATGGACATAATAGAACATCTTTTCACGAAATATGACCTAAAAAATGTGTATTAGTATACGTAGTTGTTTTTACTTTCTCGTATACGAAGTATAAAGAAAGTATTGCTGTCGTGCCAAAAATTGAAATCGCGAATTTTACAAATCTCGACAATTTACATATCCCTGGGTCGTAAAAACACAGTTTTGCAATTTTGTCCGTATGTATGTCTGTGTGTGTGTATGTGTGTGTCTGTGTCTGTGTCTGTGAACACGATAACGTGAATACCGTTATAGCTTGGTTGATTAAATTTCAAATATTTGTATAGTATAAAATATGCAGTTTTGTTTCAACTTTTTAGCGATTTCCGGTAAACGGAAATTGAATTTATTCTACTTTCTTATCTCCAAAAGCCTGTACCTTGAGTACTGTTTTGGGGTCGGCGTGGTCGAGTCGGTAAAGCTCATGGTTGCTAAACCGAAAAGTCTCGAGTTCGAACCCTGGGGCAGATGAGGCTCATTAGCTGGAGACAGCCACTCTTCTAGGAGAGACAACTCCAAAATCAAACAACTGTTACCTTGTAGTTCGTTCTTGGTTGAACAAAGGCTATGGAAGCAAATCCAAAAAGAAAAGCAGGCTGAAAGCGGAGTCATTGGCCTCAATGGCGCATAACCAGTTGACACGTATACTTAATTGTTGAGTAGGCGTGGTCGAGTCGGCAAAAGCTCATGGTTGTTAAAAGTCGAAAAAAAAAAGTCTCGAGTTCGAAACCTCTGGTAAATAAGGCTCGGTGCTTTCCAACACTTAAAATTAAGAACGAAGAAGAAGAAAGAATAGTACTGTTTGTGACAGATGAAATTCGACATATACATAAAAGATCCGATCCCCTGTTTTCTGTCAAACTTTAAGTAATCTCCAGTGATTGGAAGTAGTAATTTACGCTATTATAGATTTCTGAAAAAAAAAACGCATATGAATTTGTAAAGTACTATTGTTTCGCACTATTATATCCACAATGATTGCTGTTCACTCTGTGCGCCTTTTCTTATTTCTACGAGATTCTACTCCATTTTAAAAAGTTTGAGTATTTAAAAATTGATTAAAAATCATGTCTATATCCCGAGTTGCCATCCCACGTAGTGTTATATAAGAATATTCGAGAAAGTTTAACGGTGATCACTCCCGCTTTATTTTATTTCCGCATTATTCTGTTTGTGTATTTTCAGGATGCGATATTGCTTATTTTGTATTCATGACGTTGTAAATCAATAAAGAGATGGCGGGCATGTCTGTTCTGATCACTCTAAAGGAAATCAGCTTCATCGATCTAATGCCTTAACAGTATTAATTTGTTGGATTCCACAATATATTGTATATTAAAGTTTGAGTGAAAGTTACATTTTTATCTCTAAAAAATTAACATCCATATCCATTAATCTTATTCATATAATATCGAAATATTAAATCTGTGAATTAGTAATAAAGATGTTCCCTCTAGCTATGTTTTTGCTAAACCCGCTGTCGTTAAACCTATTGCCGTCTATATTTTCATTACTTCACCTCTGGGGTTGGAGTTTGAGGGGTGTAGCATTACAGTCGCAGAACACTCTAGAACACGAGTAAGGAATACGTAAATATAAGTACTAAATCTGCTGAAGTATTAGTGGACCAACATTATAACAGTTATCAAAGTTTTCAATTAATCTCTAGCTTTAAAAAACATGAATGTGACCAAACTTCTGCTGGATCATACACGACAGCCGTGTGTATCCGAGCCGGAAGTGACCTCTATGACCTACAGATCACGGACTCGTTTTGGAGGCTCTTTAAAAAACAACTTTAATCCATTTACTTGTAGTCTTAGCTTTACAATAGAAATATATATACGATCTACTGTCGAGGAATAGATAGGCATCGAAGTGATAACACGATTTAACATAGCTTTCTTTTTAGTGTTAGGAAGCGAATTAGCTCTGAGGTATTCAACTTCCCAAAAACTTGAATTGTGTTGAAATACTCAGGGTCCGTGTGGTCGGGCGGGTAAACGCAACGAAGCTAACCCGATAGACCCGAGTTCGAGCCATGAGCAGTTGAGGCAGGGTATATTGCCGTTTCCAGGACGCATAGGTAACGGTCTGTTACTTGCTCCATCTCATACACGGACAATATTTGACTCTCTCATCTTACTGCCGAGGCCATGTGCTTTGATTTACAAGGCAATTACAAAAATATAGTCAATAAAAACAGTCTTCAAACAAAATATACATTCATGAGTTTGAAGTCTAATGATTTGTTGGCACGCTTCAAACTTTAAAATCCTCTGTCAAATCGTATGTTCTATTTTTGTTCATGTCATTGATTATAAGGGCTCTAATTCAAACATGTTATATACTTTTCAGTCATTCATAATTTGTGAATCCACACTATCAGTAGCTCGTGAATAAAACTAAATGATCTGCCCCAAATAGCAGTCACTAATTCCACCCGGCTCTACGATTGTAAACAGCTCACCATATTGGTTGGGGTGGGAGTGATTGTGATATGGTCTGTTGAGCATGCATGGAGGGGGGAGGGTCGGCGTGCTTACGGAGTGGATTCTCTGCATGGTCCCTCCATGAAGAGAATTATATATATATATATATATATATATATATATATATATATATATATATATATATATATATATATATATATATATATATATATATAAGATTTGTAACGTCACAAAGCGTTCGTTATGACTTCCTTCTAGATTATATAAACATACAAGTTTTTCAGACAATTTATTTCCAAGGAAGTGGGATAGTTGCAACAGGCCAAAGTTAAATGACATATTTTACGATATAAAACATTTGTATCTTCTATTTCGTAAAAGGTATGGTGGATGTGCTCATGAGGAACACAGTTCCGCCCCCCCCCCCACACACACACACACTTTTTCCGGAGAGACAAAAATAACTGATAACAATGTTTTAATTTCTTTTCAGATTTCCATCAAAGATACTCGAATCTTGTGTGACCTGATAATCACAAACAGCTATACCACATTTTTTTCTGCAAAACATACTTAAGCTGAGGGTTTAAATAGATGAAAAGTAAACGCAATAACTAATGAAACAATGAGCAACCTATCAAATACATCAGTAAGTATGACATCCGCGAAAAGCTTACTCTACCAATACAATGAGGTTTCAACTCTTGCTTCATCTTTAAACCTTCAACCCGAGTTCATGAACTATTTTCAACGTACCATTGTCGTCTTGGTGAACAGAATATTTCTCTGCGCGCTAATTGGTTTATTCGGCATCGTCGCCAATGTTATCAACATCCGGGTATTCTTGAGCCAAGGACTCAACAACTCCGTCAATATTTGCTTCTTGGCCGTAGCCTTCACGGACTTGTTCCGGATTGTCACCGTGCAGTGGATGAACGTGTGTTCGAATCCTTTGATCGACCAACTGAATGCACCAATTATCTTTCAAGATATTCAGTATCTAACTGGTGGCTGGCCTCATGCCTGTGCTATTCGCATCACGATAGGAATCACCGCGTACATTACAGCCGAGAGATGTCTGTGTATCTTGCTGCCTCTGAAGATCAAGACCTTAATTACTCCAAAGAGAACTTCTTTCATCTTGCTTCTCATCTACCTTTTCAATTTCCTAGCTCTGGTTCCAGAGTATGCTACTGTGTACTTTGATTGGAGATTTAATTTAGAAAACAACAAAACACTTCTCGGTCTGGCATTCCGCGAAAACAGACCTGCAGTTCAAGGCTTGGCTTTCATGTTCCACGGCACAATATCTATGATTTCGTTAATTGCTGTGATCGCTTTTACCTCCGTTTTAGTCGTCAAGCTCAAGGTTAATTCAAAATGGAGAAAATCGGCTGTGAACCTAAACCTAACACAAACCGACTTGATATCCAATAGAGATAAAAATGCAATAGCCCTTGTCGTTACTGTGGCGACAGTTTTGATTATCTGCTACACTCCAATCGTTATTTTCTCTTTAGTGTCTACAATCGTGCCAGATTTTAGCGTCTCCGGTAGACAAGCCAATTTATTTCATGCCACTTGGTCCTTCGGGTTTTTGTTTTCAACTTTCAATGCCAGTATCAACATTTTCCTTTACTACAAGATGAGTTCAAAGTATAGAAAACATTTTCATAGCATTTTCCTTGATTGTTGTTTTTCGTTCAAGCCTTTAGACTGACATCTGGTCTAATTACTAGCGTCATTAAAATGTTTTTAAAATATACGCTATTTATTTTAAATGCTCTCAAAGATTTTAAACAGTTGCGTTATTTAAAAACATTGTGTTTAAATATTTTGTCTTTGAGATACGCTATTTTCTATTAAATAAACATCAAAATTGTGTGATAAATTTTAGTTTTTGTGTTGTTTGTTTTTAAAATGTTCATGTTTTTTTACTATCAATTTCACAAAGTACATTTATATTCATAACAAACAAAATATCATTAAAAAAGATTACAGAGCTAAATAATATGTAATTCAAAACATTTATAAGAAGACATTATACGAATGAAAAGAAATATTTAATATGTCGTGTCAATACTCTAGGGTCTAATGGGTTAGCGGGAATGCCATTAAAATCCTTTTAAAATCTACGTGGTATATCAACAATTTTCAGCAAAATATGGAGCGGCATTAAAATTTGTTTATTAAAATTAGTTTATGAGACAACATCTAAAGCATTAAAAGCGATCCCTCCCCCTCCAAACAGATGCATGCCTGATAGAAACAAAGAACGCAGGCTTATCTAGGCCAAGAGGTAGATCAGCATAAAACACAAATGTACTTGTTAAAAAAAGATAAAAGTTCATTCGTTTATTAACCGTGACATGTGTCTAATTATAAAAGCTTACACGGACATGAGATTTGTTTAGTCTCTGTTATACGACCAGCTACATTAACTCTCTATTCGTGTTTTACAGGGGAATTAGTTCCTCTGGAAAACATGTTTCAAATACCAGTTGTTCTGTTCCGTTAAGAATCAATAACACCAATCGATACCGAACAAAATTACTGACTTAGATCTACAATCAGCACTTGTCAAACAGAAATCCCTAGGTTTTTTTTTTAAAACTAGACTTAACCCTAACATTCAAGGCTTCACAGTTTTTTATAATTCAAACGATAGATTGATTGAAAACCTTATGTTTAAACCTAGCCTATATTATTTAGTGGGAGCTTTGTTAAATACAGTCATCAGATGAAATTATAACAGCGGAGACTCGGTCTAATATCTAGAAATCAAAGTCAATGGCTGGTATTAGAGGCAATTATTTTGGCACCCGGTAGATCGAACAAAGAGATTTATAATTAAACTTCAGCCACGATGAACGTGGATGCTGAAAGATGTAATTGTTTCAACTATTTATCTTGGCACGTTTAAACATGAACTCAGAAAGAAAATTGAAAATGGAGTGATTTAACGTTAGTTTATCTCGTACAAAACTTCATGCCATGTCTATAAAAAATTCTTCTTTCTCTGTTACGAGTATTTTTATATTCATTTGTAGGTTTAAAATAGGGATAAAGAGCATAGTAGTCTGTATATATATTTCCATTTGGATGTCTATTTCTTTTAGAATAATTTCGATGTTTATTTGCTACATTGTTTTGAAAAATATGATTGAGAAATAAGATTTAATAAATCAATTATTTTGATTGAAATAAAGATTGTATAACTGAAAATTGTGTTGAAAATAAACGTTAATTTAGCAGTTCAGATTTGAAGTAAATTTCAGTCTTTGATTTAGAGGATACAGAGTTATCGGCTGAAAAGAAATGGAGAGTGGTGATAATTCAACGTCGCGGGTACCAGCCCAAGTCACGCCTCAGCAGTTCAAACCCTCGAACCTCCTAGACGACAACACTCGCCACATGTTCGAGCTGGTAGTCTACGTCTTTCTCAGCAGCATCCTCGGCGTGCTGGGCGTGTTCGGCAACGTCGTCAACATCATCATCTTCTACCGACAAGGCCTCAACAACACGGTCAACATCAGCTTCACCGGCCTGGCTATATCCGACCTGTCCAGTCTTGTAACTCTGCTGTGGTTTGACGTGTGCGTCAACCCGCTCTTCGCCTACTCCGGTATCCCGATGGTGACGTCAGAGGTCCAGCATCTGAGCGGGGGTTGGCCTCGAGCCTGCTTTGCCCGCATCACAACCTGGATCACAGTCTACATCACGGCGGAGAGATGCCTCTGTATCGCCTCTCCGCTGAAGGTGAAAAAAATAATCACCCCTAAACGAACGACCGTTATCCTCTGCTCCATCTACATCTTCACAATCCTACCGCTAATTCCAGAATATTCCACCGCGTACCTCTCCTGGCAATGGGACGATAATTTTAACACAACCGTTCTACGTCTTGGTTTCACCCCCAACCGTCACGAAATGGAAGGCTTGACCTCCCTCGTGTACTTTATCTACGTTCTACTTTCCTATTTCTCCGTCGTTCTTCTCACCGGTATTTTGGTCTACAAACTTAAACAGAAAACAAAATGGCGGCAGGAATCGACGTTTGACAACTTGCAGTCGGAGAAATTGTCCAACCGAGACCGGAAAACCATCAGCATGGTCATCGTCATAGCTAGCGTGCTGATAGCCTGCTGCGCACTGCCGGTAGGTCTATACATCGTGGGTTTCGTTATCCAAGGGTTCGGCGTGATTGGGGAGTATTCCAATTTCTTCTTCGTCACCTGGTCTTTCGCTTTCTTAACCGAGGCCTTCAACGCCACGATCAACACGGTGCTGTATTACAAGATGAGTTCCAAGTATAAAGAGAAGTTCAACGAGTTATTTTCATGCTGTTTTAATCTGCGAATGTCTGGTAATGTTGATAAAATTGACGAATACCGTGATTCAAAATATAGATGACTTCAAATTTCGTAACGAAATTAAATAAAACGGGAGTGAACTCCCCTAAACTTTCTCGAATATTCGTATATAAAACAACAGGGGATGGGAACTCGGGATATAGTTATGATTTTTAATCCATTTTAAATACTTAAACTTTTTAAAATAGAATAGAATCTCATAGAAAAAAGAATTGCGCACCAAGCGAAAGCCAAAACAAAATGTGTCTAATAGTGCAGAATATTATTAGTACTTTATAAATTCACATGCGTTTTTTTTGAGAAATCGGAAAGAGTGAAAAGTACTACTTCCGGTCAACGGAAATTACTCAAAATTCGACAGAATGTAGAGAATTAGATCTTTTACTTGCATGTGAAATTTCATTTATCTATCTGAAATAGTACTCAAGTTATAGGCTTTTGAAAAATTCAAAGGTGAAAAAGTACCACTTCCGGTTATCGGAAATCGCTCAAAAGTTGAAACGGATCTACGATTTTGATAAAATACTTATATATGAAATTTTATCAACCTAGCTGTAACGGTACTCAAGTTATCGTGTTTACACACACACACACACAGACACACAGACATACGGACAAGATTGCAAAATTATGTTTTTCCGTATCAGTGAGGTGTAAAACGCCGAGATTTGCAAAAATCTCGATTATTTTTTTGCACGATTACAATTCTTTCTCTATACTTCGTATATACGAGGAAAAACATAGAATTAACGAAACTTATGAAAAGGCGCTTTAAAGTATCTTTTAAATTCTATTTTTTTTTAAATGCCAATGACAGACTTATTACTTATTTAAAAAAAATATATATTCATTGTGGATTTGTAAACTAAAAATGTTTTTCACTAAATAATATTTGTCAAATGTAAAAGAAAATATAATGAATTGCTGAAAGCAGAAAGTATGTTACGGGTCTGTTGTTATTTTTTTTTTATGTCTCAGTCTTGTAATCGTTATCAGCGAGCCTCGATGTTGTAAGGGGTCTGTTGTTAAATAAATATTCCCAAGATGTATTTCTGGTCTTTATTATAGGCTGTCAACCGCCTGACATAAGTATCAACGCTGAGTCACATATAATGCATAGTCTAATAAAAGAGCTCCCCATAACACTAAAACCACGTGGGTGAGATTAAAGCTCACCCCGTAACCCGAATAGGTGGTTCATATATGAAAATTTAAAACTTCATAATTTTACAGGAAAATGAAAAATGTTTTGTGAACATATTTGTTGAGAGTGAGTGCTGTTTTAGTTGTCGTGGGAATTATAATGAATAGCCTCCCTTTTTTAACACAATTCTCAAATAAGGGAGGAAACTTAAAATTTCCTTGCTTCAGACAATAAAAGCAAACGATTCATGTATAAAACTTTAAAATATAATATAAAAGAAATTGTTTAAAAAGCAAACTAAGTGTAAGCAATTTTTAATAATAATATGAAGTATTTTTAAAATTAAAAATTATAATTGACTCGTAATTAAAATATGAATACGGTGCCTTTTTCTTTTTAAGATAAACCCAAAACTTAATGATAACTCTGTACTCGGTACTTATAAATAATTTGTTTAGAAAAAATAAAAAAACGAAAAAGGATTTTAAAGGTGTTTTACTTACAAACGACAGCTTTGTCACACTCTAGGAAAGTTAGAAATTTTTAATTCAGGCATACTATAAAAAAGTATGATGGGTTTGATAATTTCCGCAATAACTATTTTTAATCCAGGGCTGGAGCGAAAGAGCGGTACGCATAAAGACGTAGTTTTGAGAAAGGCAAAGAAACTGCTTTAAAATGGGCAGAAAACATTGGTTTCTTGAGCTACATCTTCAACCAGTCACGTTGATCAGCAAATGGTGCTACTTATCAAAGAACATACTGCCCAAGCTGATTATGAAATTTTTTGCTCTTCACGTGAGGGAGCTCAATACCCAGAATAGTTTGCATTGCATGACATTAGGTACAAAGAATAGAAGTGCTGTTGTTTCATTTCTTTATGATGTGATTTGTTTCGTTTTTTTAAGGTAGTTTTTTTTTTTAGTCACAATGTATTTGATCAACCATCCAGCTCGAAATGTGCTTAGGTAGACAGAAAACCAGCAAAAAAACAAACAAATTAACATTAAAAATATAACTTTAATAGAGAGTGTTGAAACTCTTGTGTCGATGAAAATAAAAAGATAAGATACATAAACCTTAAAGGTCAATTATCTAAGTGAAAAACCATCAAACTTGTATAAATCTTGGAAGTTAGTTTGGATATTTCAAAACACGTTTACAACTTTGCTAAATCAAGGTCATACAAAATTTACATAAGCTTTTGTTAAATTTTGGCAAAGAAATTATCGATTTGTTTAAAATGTCTTCAGTCAGGACATACCTTCAGTATGTTCATCAAGGTTCAACATGTCATTGGTCTGCCTCATTTTGCTCTGTATACAACAATAGGTTGGTTTGACATTTTCTTTGCCAAATACAAATTACATTTCTTTCGACGGGGAGGTATACTTTCTTAGGGGGTAGGGGAGGGTTAGTGGTTATCTATGTGGCAGTCAGTGGTTGTGTGGGTCAGTCATTGTTTGTGTGGGTCAGTCGTGGTTGTGTGGGTGAGTCAGTGGTTGTGTGTGGCAGTCTGTGTTTGTGTGTGTGTAGCAGTCAGTGTTAGTGTGTGGCAGTCAGTGTTTGTGTGTGGCAGTCAGCGGTTGTGTGTGGCAGTCAGTGGTTGTGTGTGGCTGTCAGTGTATGTATGGGTCAGTCAGTGGTGGTGTGTGGCAGTCAGTGTTTGTGTGTGGCAGTCAGCGGTTGTGTGTGACTGTCAGTGGTTGTGTGTGTTTGGTAGTCAGTAGTTGTGTGTGGCAATCAGTGTTTGTGTGTGGCAGTCAGTGGCTGTGTGTGTGTGGCAGTCAGTGGTTGTGTGTGGCAGTCAGTGTTTGTGTGGCTGTCAGTGTTTGTGTGTGGCAGCCAGTGGTTGTGTGTGACTGTCAGTGGCTGTGTGTGTTTGGTAGTCAGTAGTTGTGTGTGGCAATCAGTGTTTGTGTGTGGCAGTCAGTGGCTGTGTGTGTGTGGCAGTCAGTGGTTGTGTGTGGCAGTCAGTGGTTGTGTGTGGCAGTCAGTGGTTGTGTGTGGCAGTCAGTGGTTGTGTGTGGCAGTCAGTGGTTGTGTGTGGCAGTCAGTGTTTGTGTGTGGCTGTCAGTGTTTGTGTGTGGCTGTCAGTGGTTGTGTGTGTATCAGTCAGTGGTTGTGTGTTTGGCAGTCAGTGGTTGTGTGTGTGGTAGTTAGTGGTTGTGTGTGGCCGTCAGTTTTGTGTGTGGCTGTCAGTGTGTGTGTGTGGCAGGCAGTGGTTGTGTGTGGCAGTCAGTAGTTGTGTGTGGCAGTCAGTGTTTGTGTGTGGCAGTCAGTGGTTGCGTGTGTGTGGCAGTCAGTGGTTGTGTGTGTGTGGCAGTCGGTGGTTGTGTGTGTGTGGCAGTCAGTATTTGTGTGTGTTGAGCCAGTGTTTGTGTGTGTGGCAGTCAGTGTTTGTGTGTGGCAGTCAGTGTTTGTGTGTGGCAGTCAGTGGTTATGTGTGTGTGGCAGTCAGTATTTGTGTGTGGCAGTCAGTGGTTGTGTGGGTCAGTCAGTGGTTGTGTGTTTGGCAGTCAGTGTTTGTTTGTGGCAGACAGTGTTTGTGTGTGAGGCAGTCAGTGGTTGTGTGTGGCAGTCAGTGGTTGTGTGTGTGGCAGACAGTGTTTGTGTGTGTGGCAGTCAGTGGTTGTGTGTGGCAGTCAGTGGTTGTGTGTGGCAGTCAGTGTTTGTGTGTTGCAGTCAGTGGTTGTGTGTGTGTTGCAGTCAGTGGTTGTGTGTGTGTGGCAGTCAGTGGTTGTGTGTGGCAGTCAGTGTTTGTGTGTGTGTTGCAGTCAGTGGTTGTGTGTGGCAGTCAGTGTTTGTGTGTGTGTGTGTCAGTCAGTGGTTGTGTGTGGCAGTCAGTGGTTGCGTGTGGCTGGCTGTGGTTGTATGTGTGGCAGTCAGTGTTTGTGTGTGTGGCAGTCATTGTTTGTGTGGGTCACTCAGTGGTTGTGTGGCAGTCAGTGTTTGTGTGTGTGGCAGTCAGTGTTTGTGTGTGGCTGGCTGTGGTTGTGTGTGGCAGTCAGTGTTTGTGTGTGGCAGTCAATGGTTGTACTTATAGACTAGAGGAAGACATTGGAGATAATGAAGAGAAGAGAAATGTTGATATTGTTATTTGCAAGAAGTCGAGGCTAAAACCACTTGTTTCTCGCGAACAATTTGCGTTGCGTCCACTCTTTTCCGAACCCGTGAACCACACATACACACACACACACACACACACACAAACACACACAAGGGGTTGTTTTGGATTTGCTAGTCTTTGTGATTGTCTCTCATGCAAAATCTTAGGGGTGTCTCCTAGCCAACACTGCCCTAACGGACAAATTTGGCACTCATCCAAAGATTTGTAAAAGAAATATAAACAGTACCTTGTTTCCTTTAGTCTCGTGAAAGCTTTCAGAGCTGCTGCAAAATCCTTTTAAAAAAATTAAAATATATACTTTATATACACTCTCACACAATGACACACATACACACACACACACACATATATATATATATATATATATATATATATATATATATATATATATATATATATATATATATATATATATATATATATATATATACAGTATGTTGTTATTGGTTGTTATTGGTGTTTGTGGTTGTGGTTGGGTTTGTTGTTAGGTTTTTGTTTTCGTTTGCTTTTTTGTTTGTTTTTTCTTTGTGTTTGTATTGGTGTTTGTGGTTGTGGTTGGGTTTGTTGTTAGGTTTTTGTTTTCGTTTGTATTTGTAATTGTAATTGTGTTAGCGTTATGTTTGCGTTTTGTTGTTTTGGTTTTGGTTGGTTGTGGTTTGGGTGGGCAATGCCGGGTTTAACAGAAAGGTTTTTCACAGAAGCCAGAGCAGGGCCTGGCCGGGACGGCTAGTATATATTTATACAGGACTAACCTTTAGAAAGTTTT